AGATCTAAGAATATCCATTCTGTCTGTAATTGCAACAAAACCAAACTAAAAACTACCTACACATATATCAATAAGGGACTAAATTATTAACATGCACACAGTGGAGAATGAGATGGATTTTTATATTAATGTGAAAACATGTCTAAGATTAAATAATAAAAAGTAGAAATATATAGTATGTGTCTCTGAGTATTTAAAGAATTTATACAAACCAGCACAATGTATATATACATTCTGGAAGAATAACTAATAAGTGGTAACCACTGGCACAGGAAAATTTTGGGGTTGAGGAGCAACATATACCATTTTATAGGTTTAAATTTTTCACTATATGCAATTACTTGTACATTTATCCTATAAGAATCTTCAAAATTCCTTTAAAGTGTGTATTATGAAAAAAATTTAATGCATTTCAATTTTTTTGCACCAAAATAAACATATCTTTTATTTCAACTAGACTATAAAATACTTTAAAGAAGCTAAGCATGAATTGACAAGCTAACATTTTTGAATGGTAGATTTGAATTTTGGCCTGATCTTGAATTCATCATGTTTACTCACCCAGAGGTTCAAAAACATACTCCTTGCATGCAATTACGAATAAAAGACATTGAATAGGTACTCTGCCATTTACTATATTTTTTTTCCTTTTTAGTAACATGAGTTCTCTATTTCTTGCTACTACCATGTAACTAATTTAAATGATAATATTATTTACAAGTCCACCATATTAAATCTACTAAGGGCAAACAGCAAAGCCCCTTTTAGCTCTAGGCAAACTGGCAGGTATCTGACATGGCCAACACTGGTTGAGTACACCTTCTATATCTAACATCCTCAGCAATGCTTCTATTGATTGTTTAGTACAGCTGGTACGCAGTATTCACGTAAGGATTTCTCAGTGGCACTGACTGCAGGATAAGTTTTTGTATTATACTTGTCTATGCAGAGCACACATTTAAAATCCTGGGCCTATACCCTCGAAATGCTGGCAGATTTTTTATACTCCTATCTGTACAGTGAAAGTGATATTCAACCCACCCCTCCCCCCAAGGTAAGAACCACTGATGGCCCTTTTTGTCAGGCACAGGTGACAGTGCTTTAGACTTTCCAGCATAACTGAGGCAGCATTAGGGAATTATGGCCTGTTTGCCTCCCCGGAGATTCCTATCAACATCTATCCAGCAACTTCTCCAGGAGGGTGTTAGAGTGTGGAGAGGCGGGTAGTAGTCTGTCTAATCCTGATTTCTTCATACTATACAGCAGTTTCACTGCTTACAGGAAAAAAAAAAAAATTACAGAACACTGCTGCTGCAGCCAAACTCAACTTCATTTTAAATGTCCTTAAAAAAAACAAAAAACAAAAAACAAAAAAACCACTCAATTCTGACATAAAGAGAGAATACTCTGAAGTACTTTTTTTTCAAACTTTTACTCTCACCCACTTCCAACTGTCCCAGAAGAAATTAATGAAAACATTTTTTAAACCTTCAAAAATCTCATATGAAAAACTATTCAAAATTTCAAGTGAATTAAAAAGTACTTCAGTTTTAGACTCCACTCTACTACCAACAGCCTGTGTGATGGTGAAACATGAAATCTTTTCTAGACTTTTAGGTACTCGTTGGCTCTCAAATTCTAACCATGTCAAGGCCTCCAAAATTATACTAAAATCAATCATGCCCAGGGCTTTGAATGTCTTCCTAGTAAGCCTATGTTTAAATATTCAGTATTTAATAACTTTAATATTAAATAATTTTAAATAAAAATATTTTAATACTTAGTTTAAATAGTCAAATTGGAGAATGCATTCCACAAAGATCCTAACCATGATTTTTTTTTAAACTGTTCCTGCTTCTGGGCTGGTTTAAACACTCACCAATTAGAATAACTGGGAGAAACTGCTATGTAACACAGATTCACAGCTTAAATAAAGGGCAGGAGGGAATAAAAGCAGCATGCGTTCCTTTATGCCTTCAGAGAAGCACTGCAGATTTTACACTTCATACTGAAGAGCTTCTCAGAAGAAATGAAGACTCCAGTAAAACATGTTATCTCCGCTTTCTTTTTAGAAAAGAATCCCCATCCTTAAAATGACATCCAACCAAACAGGCTAGCAAGGATGAGACATATCAAAAACACTTCTTTGATCAATCATGAATGCATAATTTCATAACCGTCTTGAATGTGACAAAGTTCTAAACTACAAATACCCTAGAGAGCGGGCATCATAATTTTAGCAGTACCTGAGACTCAAAGAAGCTTTTAAAATTAACAGCCTCTATAGACTGCAGATGACTTACAAAGCTGGCTTATTAACAGCAATTTTAATTTGTATCAGTAAGTCTGTTAATGGCTCAGTTGCCATAAAGACAATCATAAGAAAATGAATCTTCCAAAAAAGGGAAAGCGAAAGAAAATCAGGGGATTAATAATTGAACACTGAAATACCAAAAAATTCAAACTTTAATGTACACAGAAATTTGTTTAGGTGTCCTGGTAAAGTCCAGACTGACTGAGCAGGTCTAGATTGAGCAATTAGATGCTTTCTTTTTCTATTATTTTAAAGGCAGTTACATAGACAGCGAGCTCTTCCATCTACTGGTTCACTTCCTAAATGGCTACCAATGGCATGGGCTGGGCCAGGCTGAAGCCAGGAGCTTCATCTGGGTCTCTCACACGGGTGGCAGGTGCCCAAGCACTTGGGCCATCTTTCACTGCTTTCCCAAGAGCATTAGCAGGAAGCTGGATCAGAAGTAGAGAAGCGAGGGCTTGAACAGGGCCCAGAAGGGATGTCAGTGTTGCAGGCAGCAGCTCAAGCCATTGCCTCACAACACCAGCCCAGAGATGCTGCTTTCTAACAGGCTCCCCACACAATGCTGAGACTGCTTGCCTAAGGATAATCCTTTGAATAGCAACCAGGACTGTAAACCATGACCAGGTCAAAACATGAAAGAAAGGTACAATTTCTTTAAAAGATGTTTATATATTTGAATGGCAGAGATACAGAGAGAGTGGCATTTTCTACCCGGAAGTTCACTCCCTAAACGGCCACAACAGCTGGGGCTGGGCCAGACAGAAGCCCAGAGCTTCATCCGGGTCTCCCAGGCAGGTGCAAGGGCCCAAGGACTTCACAGGCTCATTAACAGGGAGCTGGATCAGAAATGGAGCTGCAGGGCTCGAAATGGCACCCATATGGGATGACAGCATTGTAGGTGGAGGTTTAGCTTTATGCCACAGTGCTAGCCACAGAAATGTACAATTTTAAATGAGAAATAATCCTTTGGAGATATTTTCCAAGGTTTGTTTTTTCTGGGGGGTGGGGGTGGGGGTTATCAGAGCAGTTTTTTGTTAGTAAATATTGAGTGGTTTCACCCAACAGGCTGATTCTGTATTCAGCAAAATCTCACAAACTCATATTAAGGAAATTTCTCTAAATAATAAACAAAGGAAGCAGAGCAGCAGGAACACAGTTCAGGCATTTCAAATGTTATTTCTCATTCTAGAATGAAGTTTCCTGAATGAATTAGCATCTATACATTCAAAACTGAAGATAAATTATTCTGCGAGGAGACCAATAAATAAATTACTCAAGACTAATTAGAGATAAAGCCTGGATTTGGGAAGTCAGACCTTTCAGATTCTGGCTTGGCTACTTAACAGCAAGGTTTTTTTGTTTTATCTGAGTTTCCTTTCCTTAGGGCGATGGTGATAATCAGCTTGCACAATATAAATAAAGTGCCCAACATTGTGCCATGTAAATGATAAATAAGAGATACTTGCTATATCAAATATGAAGCTTGAGTAAAAACTAAATCCTGCTTTCAACAAGCAGTTTTCTACAACATACATAAACCACCTTGAGAGTGAAGTGGGGGGGCCGGCATCCACCCCTTATGGGCACGGGCTGGAGTCCCGGCGCTCGACTTCCCATCCAGCTCCCTGCTAACCAGCAGAGGATGGCCCAAGCCATCTTGGGAGGCCCGGAAGAAGCTCCTGGCCTCGGATGGGTCCAGCTCCAGTCGTTCCGGCCCTTTGGGGAGTGAACCAGCGGATGGAAGACCTTTCTCTAACTCTTTCAAATAAATAAATCTTTAAAAAAAAAAAGAAAGAAAAAGAAGTGAAGGGGGGGGGGGGTGCTGCACAGAGAAACCCACTATCTAAACAGAAAAACTAGCAATCCCGACAGTACATGACGAATTCCAGGACTGAAGGGAAACGCACCTCGGGCTGGTGCAGGGGTCTGTGTAGTACCTACACGAACGTTCTCCTCCACGAAACAAAGTAACAGGGCCCACTCTCCACACACACAGACCCATCCTCACAAGCAGCCAGGAAGGCGGCCAATTCTGGAAACCTCGCCGGGAACCAAGGCCGACGCTGTCAAGGCTCTGGGGGTCGGCCGGGCCAGGTGCCCCGACGCCCGGTCCAGCGCTTGTGAAGGAGACGGCGTTCACGTAAGCACAGCCCGGAGACGTGCTCTCCCCACCGACAGCGGCCACGCAGAGCCAACAGCAGCCGCTCCTCTCCGGTTGTGAGGCCAAGACAGAAAGAAGGACAAGGTTTAGGGGCTCACGACGCCTGCACCCGAGGCCGGCCACACCGGTGAGCAGCGGGCCGGGGGCAATGGCGGGCCGACCGTCCTTAGCAGACTAAACGCGGGGAGCCCTCCCTGGGGACGGCAAGTTAATTGTGGGAAGGTTTAAAGGCAAAAGCAGGCTGCTCAGCCCCGACCCGCGGCGGGGAGGGCTGCGTCGGCACCGGCCAGGCGGCGGGCGCCCACCGAGCCGACCCCGCGCCGGGGCCCAGGTCCGCGGCGGCTCCTCCAGCGGGGAAGCAGGAGCCCCTGGTCCCCACACCGCGACCCCGCGACCCCCCGACCCCGCGGCCGCGGCCCGCAGCCGGGCGCCTCCGACCCTCCGCCGCCCCACACCAGGCCGAGCGGCCGCGCCGCCGCCCGCCGAGGCCTGAGTCGCCGTCCGCGCGGCCCGCAAGGTTACCTTCGGCAGGGAACTCCTCGAACTCGTCATCCTCCTCGAGGAGACCCAAGTCGACCGGCTGCTTTTTCTCGGACATCGCTCCCGTCCGCGCAGGACACCTCGCAGGTGAGTACGGAACGTGGAGGCCTCACTCCTCCCCAACCGAGGCCGCAGCGCCGCTTACGACGCCGGGGCTACCATAGAGACTCGGGGGCAGAGCTACGGGAGCGGCGCGCGGAATGCTGGGATAGCGGAGGTCCGCCGAGCGCTTCCTGCGGGCTTAGCTGTTCCAGACAGGTGGGTTTGGAGGGCTGGTAGGGTGGGAAGAATCACTACGTTCCTAAAGTTGTATTGATGACAGGCATCAAGTTTGTATACCTTAAATGAAAGGTTTCTAGGGAGAAACTAATTAAGAAGTAAAAATTTAAAAAAAAAGATGGTTTTTTCTTCCTGCCTGGTCGGACTGTAGCGTGGGGTAGCTTTCCCTACGTGAAAGAGACTCAGTGTGTAAAAAAATGAACCGTCTTCACCGGGTTTGTAAGTGAGGAAGGGAATCTGGAGCAGTACAGTGACTGCCAGCATGCCTTACCAAGTCCTCCCAGCCATCCCCTGGGCCTGGAGCTGCAGGCCCTCAGCTGGTGCTGGGCAAGCCAAACGCAGACCTGCGTAGGGACTCCCATCTCCGAACTCCAAACTCCTCCTCCAGGCAGTGTCTGGGTGCTGGGCGGCGGGGGGAGGGGTGACCGACTCTGGTTTGCAGGTTATTATAAAACAATGCAAGGTCAAAGCTGATATGTGTAACATGTTTTATGTTCACAATGTATCCCTTAGACTTGCTTATATATGGATGCGCGTATATGTCTGCTTTTGAAGTGCATGTGGCAAAATGCTAAAAAATTATAAATTTAAAAATTAAAAAAATAATTATTTAATAGTATTTGAATATAGCAGTAAACTCCATGGGACTCTGTATGCAATATATATGGATATGTGATACAGGTGGCTATTATGGGATATATATGTAAGTTATTTAGTATTGTCATAAATCTGTTGCACATGTCTTTATATATTTAAATCCATTCCCCCATTCAGCAACCCTAGTTCATAGCGTCTACCAAACCCTGTGCATCAAACATGATAGACGAGGCCATTTTCCTCAGGAGCTCGTAGTCTATGCAGAGGCGTGTAAACAGGTGAGTCACAATGAAGCATGGTAACCCATTTGAATCTCCGTCTTAACGTTGTGTAGGAAGTGAACAGAATGTATGGGAGTACTAGAACAGAACAACTAAATAGAGAACAAATTTGGACAACAAAGAGAATTTGATGTAATTTTTAAAAAGTAATATCACTGTGGCAGGACGGGGATGGGGTGAGGTGCACATTGTGGCTCATTGGGCTCATTGGGACACCTGCATCCCATAACACAGTGGCGGTTCTAGTCTTCTGTACTCGGGTTCCCAACCAGCTTCCAGCTAATGCATCCTGGCGGGCAGCAGATGATGGCTCAAGTACTTGGGTCCCTGCTCCCACACGGGATTCCTGGATGGCACCTGGACTCCTGTCTTTGGTTTGGCCAGCCCTGTCTGTTGGAGGCATTTGGGAAGTGAACCAGTGGGTGTAAGTTCGATTGATCAGTTGATAGATTAATCGATTCTTTCTTTCTTTTCTTTCTTTCTTTCTTTCTTTCTTTCTTTCTTTCTTTCTTTCTTTCTTTCTTTCTTTCTCTTTCTCTTTCTCTTTCTCTTTCTCTTTCTTTCTTTACTTTCTCCTTCTTTCTCTCTCTTTCTACCTTTCTCCCTTTCTTTCTCTGTGCCTCTGACTTTCAAGTATATGAAAATAAACATTAAAAAAGTAATAGCTCTTATAAAACTATTTTGATTTGTATAGACTACTGAAAATATAGGTATATCAGTACGAAAAAGAAGTATATAAAGCAATGTATTAAAGGGTACTTCAAAAAGTTCGTGGAAAATGCAATTAAAAAATAAATTTGTGGGGGGCTCCAACAAGGCCGCTAAGCCTTTGCTCGAGTTTGCTGCACTTCCGCATCTCAGTGACTCAGCGTTTCCAACAATCTAAGATGGCCCCCGGGGGAGGTACCTAGCCTGACAGGAGACTTCCGTATTCGTGGACAGTATGTGTCCTCAGTTGTGATTGGCCCTTGAGGGCGTGCCCGGCTCATGTCCTGCCTTACCTTTCAGCTGGTTGGCTCAGTTCCCTTGTGGCCTGGACAGCCCCCTTTCTGTGTCTACAAAAGCTCTTCCCCTCCCAATAAAGTCAAGAACTCGGCTGCGCCCTGGGTGTCGGCTGATCTCCCGGCTCTGGTGTGGTTCCTTTGCCGCCGACACTCATCATCCCACTCAGCTCCTGAGCTCCCCAGGCTGGCCCTGAGGAGCTCTCTCGGACATGCTGCCCCGTGACGAGCAGCATAAATTTATTTTGGTGCAGAAAATATTGAAATCCTAAGGTCAGACTCAGTCTCTGCTGTTAACTGGTTGTATACATCCCAAGAAATTCTCCTTTGTGCCTTTTTTTTCCTTTTGTGTCTTTGAACTTAAAATAGAAAAATATCCTTCCTCACTAGGTTGTTGGGAGAATTAAATGAGCTACTGCAGATAAAACACTCGGCAGGGTGCCTGGCAGCTGACACAGAGTAATGTAGTTTGAATTAGAAAGGAGGACGATAGTGCCAGCCCTGCCCTTTCGCAATGTGTAAACTCCTCAAAGCTAGAAGAAAAGTGGACTGTTGTTTCCAGCAGCTCAGTGTTTGTCACAAGAAGTCCTGAACATTTGCTGTGCTCAGGACTCTAGAACTCCGCCTTTTCTAACCAGAACAGCCATTTGCTGTAGCTTCTCGCTGAGTGTTCACAGGCAAGTTGTAGATGAGGTTGTAGCCACAAAGTTGGGCTGCTGCACATTTCAGGAACCTCCTTTCCCTACTATGTCCTCATTTTTAGGCAGCTAGCAAAACCATTATCAAAAGTCCAAATAATTGTGATAAATCTAAGTGAAGCTCTAGTAGAAGAAAATGGGACTATTGAAAGATTGGACAGACCAAACCATATAGGAAATCTCTTATTTCACAGAAATCCATAGCTCCCTGTTGAAATTGTCATTCTCTTTTGGACCTTTAAAGCTTACTCCCTTTTCCCTGAAGCAGATCTTGAGGGTCTTTAGAACAGTGGTGCTGTGGCGTAGCAGGTAAAGCTGCTGCCTGCTTTGCCATCATCCCTTATGGGCCCCAGTTCGAGTCCCTGCTGCTCCACTTCTAATCCGGCTCTCTGCTATGACCTGGGAAAGCAGTAAAAGATGGCCCAAGTCCTTGGGTCTCTTCCCCCACGTGGGAGACCTGGAAGAAGTTCCTGACTCCTGGCTTTGGATCAGCACAGCTCCCGCCGTTGTGGCCAATTGGGGAGTGAAACAGCGGATAGAAGGAAGACCTCTCTCTCTCTGCCTCTCCTCTCTCTGTATAACTCTGACTTTCAAATAAATAAATAAAGCTTAAAAAAAAAAAAAAAGTGGACACTAAGTATGCAGGCAGATTCTGGACACTTGGAGCTAGCTCTGAATCTACTGTGATAAATGTGTGGAGGGTGTTTTTAGTAAGAAGATTTAATGGGAGATCTGCCCTCTTAACAAATTTTTCAGTGTACAACACAGTATTGTTAACAATAGCTCCCATGTTTACAGCAGATTTCTACAATGTGTTCATCCTATATAACTGAAACTTTATACCTACTGCACAACAACTCCCAGTTCTCACACCCACAGCCCCTGATGACCACCATTCTGTTCTCTGTTTCTGTTGTTTCTGTTGGACTATTCTAGAAACCTCATATACATGGACTCACTCAGTGGTTGCCCTGTGACTGATAATTTCACTTAGAATGATGTCTTCAGGGCCAATGTGGCACACTGGGTTAAGCTACCACTTGTGTTGCCTGCATCCCACTTTGGAGTGCCAATTGGAGCTGCAGCTGTTCCACTTCCAATCTAGCTTCCTGATGAAGTCCCTGGGGAGGCAGGAGAGGATGACCCAAGTGCTTGCACCCCTGCCTTCCATGTGGGAGGCCAGGTTGGAGTTCCTGGCTTCTAGCTTCAGCTTGGCCAAGACTTGGCTGTGTGGCCATTCAGGGAGTGAGCTTCAGGTAGAAGCCTCTCTCTCTCTCTCTCTCTCTCTCTCTCTCTGCCTTTCAAATAGCTACCCATCTAACTAAAGATATATATCCTTTTTTAAAAAATCTTCCATGTTATCACACATGGTAGGACTTCCTTTTTTTTAAAGGCTGAATAATATTCATACACACACACAAACACACACACACACACCCCACATTTTCTTTATCCATTTATCAGTCAATGGACATTTGGGTTGTTTCTGTATCTCGGGTATTGTGAATAATGCTTCAATAAACAAGGATGGGCATGCAGGTATCTTCTTTGAATTCTGATTTTAGTTCCTTTGGATATATATCTAGATGTCGGATAAGTGAATCATGTGGTAGTTCTATTTTTAATTTTTTGAAGGACCTCCATACTGTTTTCCACAGAGGCTTTGCCATTCTACACTTCTACTAACAGTGTTTAGGGGTTCTAATATCTCAACATCCTCATCTGTACTTGTTATCTTTTTGAAAAAACAATCATTCTGACCAGTGTGAAGTATCATCATGACTTTGAACTGTATTTCCATGATGGTTAGTAATGTTGAAAATGTTTTCATACATATGTTGACTATTTGGGTGTCTTCTTTGGCGAAATATCTATTAAAGTCATCTGTTCATTTTTTAATGGGGGTTCTTGAGTATTTTACTATTGAGTTGCAGGAGTTCCTTTTTTACGTTGTGTTATATATTTCTGTTAGCCGTCACAAAGCACACCGAACACCGGAGTAAGGGAGAGGGTTCATTGGGGAAAACCCAGCACACCAGAGGGAAGGAGCGAAGAGGGAAGGAGAGTAAGAGAGAAAGAGGAGAGAGGAGAGGAGGCTAGAGAGAGTGAGCAGGAGTGAAGAGAAGCCAAGAGAGAGCCACGTGTTCAGGAACAGGTCCTTTTAAAACTTTGCCCGAGGGCAGGCAGGGAAGCAGGAGCAGGGAAGCCCATTAGGATGGGGGTGGGGCTGACACCAGTGGTTGGGCCACGTGACCACCTGGCTTTCAGTAATGGTGGCAGGGGCTAGAGCCTAGGATGTAAATCAGGGTGTAGATCACCCCATAGATAAAACTGTGCCAGTCTCCTAACATGTTGGATAGTGATCCCTTACAAAATACATGATTTACAAATATTTTCTCCCATTCCACAGTCTTCCTTTTCATGCTTTTATTTCCCTTGCTAGAGCTTCTGAGTTTGGTATAGTCCCAATTGTCTATTTTTGTTGACTGTATTTTTGGAGTCATATCCAAAAAACTATTGCCTAGACCAATGTCATTGAAGCTTTTTCCTCTAGAAGTTTTAGTATCAGGCCTTAAATTTAAACCTTTAATTCACATGAGGTTGATTTCTGTGTATAATATGTTTAATGGTTTGGTTTATGGAGGGGGCAGTTAAAATGTATAACCATTTTCTTTTAAAAACATAAAACATCAGTTTGGAAATAAAATAATATTTTCATCTTCTTTCCCCAAAATTATTTAACAATGCTTATAGATTCTGCCTTAAGCAAGACACTGTGCAGATACCACATGCAGATATGGTCCTTTCTTTCCCTGTTATGGTTTCTACCCTGGTGGGTTCTGAGAGTTTACATCAGTTCATTTGGAATAAAACTTACATAATTTTTCTGGAGTGAATATTTGGGGTGGGTATACTTCTAAACCTTAATATGCTTGTGAATCTCTTCTGATTTTGTTAAAAATCAGATTCTGATGCTGTCAAATCTTTGTGAAGCCTGAGATTCTGTTTTTAACAAGCTTCTGGGTGACACTGATGTTGCTGGGCTGGAGGCCACATTAAAAAGCAAGTGTTTGGATGAAATCAAAGTAAAAGAAGATTGATCCAGGTTAACAATACTGTGTGATGAGTGTGACTTGTTGTGACTCCTTTTGCAACCACACTAAATAGAAATGTTTGCCTCTCGCCATTGGAGCCTTTCCTCTAAGTGTTCTGACTCCTTTGAGAAGTTTAGCTGCTCTTTCCTATCTGAATGTCTCACACTTACATCTTCATTAATATAATGAGCACTCCATACCAG